AACTTTATACATAGCTAAATTATTAAATAATTTTGTAGTTAAGAAGACACGAACCTAAAATCGATTGAACTCAAAACCTAATCCAGTATTGATTCAACACAAACCTAATCCATCTCTTTTGTTTATCTCTTTCTTTTTGTAGCTATATTTTCATCAGCACATAGTTTTTCATGTATAGCATTTCTCATTTCTCGTATCTTTACAGTACTGTGAAAAAAAATATTATTTCCATTTTATACTTGAAACCAATGCATGTTGGACGTCTACTTTAAGAACCCTATCTTCAAAAGAAAAATGACAACTAAAGATATTATAACCAATTGAAAGAAGACCAAAACTATTAAAACAGAAGTCAATTTGGGTATCATATTTGTCTACAGTTAGATATGTTACCAAATTTAGTTTTTTTTTATATTAATTATGCATCATAATATGTCCCATGATAACTAAACAATTCCAATTATATCAACTAAGAAAGAAATAAAAAGATATTCACACATATTTTTATAAAACTGTAATCTAATGAAATCTTATGTTATCTTTGAAAATATAAATATACCATTTTAAAAAAAATATATTAACTTTATAAATATCTAAATTGTTAAATAGTTGTGTAATTAAGAATATACAAACCTAATCCAGTATTGATGTCGTCCTCTTCGGAAAAGAAGAAGAAGAAGCTGAAGCAACAGAACCCAACTCCAACACTTCCCGATGAAATACTATCTTTAGCTAATTCAGTGGCTAGAAGAACCTTTTCCATCAACAATCTCTCTTGACAAATGCAGATTGATTCAGCGTAATAAACGTAAGACATAATATTTTTAGCTTATTTGCAATATTTTAGAGATTACATTACAAAGGACATTTCAGCAGGAAATGAGTAAGTAATCTTTCATTTCCTTTGCTTCTTCTTTCTTCAGTATCAAGGTCAAGATGGTTGAATTCAAACCTTTCATTATCAAGGTCAAGACTGTAATATTAGGAGGGGATGACCCAAATATCTTACTCGAAATGATCCTGCTGCAAATGAAAAATGGTTGAGAATCTCTTCTTGCCTCTCCTCTTTGATTCCATAAACAAGGTCGATTTTTCGATTCTAATCATAAGACCTGTCATTCTATCAAAGTCCTCAAACACATTTAGTATCCCATATATTGATATCTTCTNAGACTGTAATATTAGGAGGGGATGACCCAAATATCTTACTCGAAATGATCCTGCTGCAAATGAAAAATGGTTGAGAATCTCTTCTTGCCTCTCCTCTTTGATTCCATAAACAAGGTCGATTTTTCGATTCTAATCATAAGACCTGTCATTCTATCAAAGTCCTCAAACACATTTAGTATCCCATATATTGATATCTTCTTTCCATCTGAAAATATCTCAAATCATCTACAAAACATAGGTGAGTAAAATCTATGTTTTGGTAGTGTGGATGGTATCATATCCTTCTCTCTATAACTGCTTCATCTATCCTTTTTGACAACACATTCGTGCTGATAACAAAGAGATATGCCGAGAATGAACACCCCTGCCTCAAGCTTCTCCCGCTCTGAAAGTAACCAGCAAATTCACCATTCACTTGCACCGAAAATGAAGCAGTTTTTACAGACAAAGAAATCCAATGAATAAACTTATCCGGCAACCCCATTGCCTTCTAAGTGTCATTGCACTGAGTCAAAATCCTTAGAGATGTCTAGGAGAAATGGAATCCTATCTTTAGCTAATTCAGTGGCTAGAAGAACCTTTTCCATCAACAATCTCTCTTGACAAATGCAGATTGATTCAGCGTAATAAACGTAAGACATAATATTTTTAGCTTATTTGCAATATTTTAGAGATTACATTACAAAGGACATTTCAGCAGGAAATGAGTAAGTAATCTTTCATTTCCTTTGCTTCTTCTTTCTTCAGTATCAAGGTCAAGATGGTTGAATTCAAACCTTTCAGTAAAATTTCCTAGGTGAAAAATGATTGAACTGCCACAATAATATCATCCCCAATCACACCCCAAGATTCAAAACTCTGATGTGAAACCATCTGGAACCGATGATTTATTCCCCAGCATTTTGAATAATACATCTTTTATTTCCTCCTTAGTTACTTCCTTTACCAGGCTATTACAATCATCTTCACTGCAAGTAAATCCCGATAATTCTTCTAACCTCCTTATTGTAACACCTTCAAATTCTACTTGTTGCATTGACATAAATTCTGCAAATAAACATTCCGCTTCTTTCTTTATCTCTTTTTTATTTTTAGCTATATTTCCATCAGCACATATAATTTCATGTATAGCATTTCTCATTTCTCGTATCTTTACAATGTGAAAGAATTTATTATTTCTATTTCATATTTGAAGTCAGAGCATATTGGACCTCTGCTTTAAGAACCCTATCTTCGAGAGGAAGATGACAACTAAACACATTATAACTAATTGAAAGAAGACCGGAACTATTAAGAGGTTGATTGGTTTGTGCTTTGGTTTCTGTACACAGCCAAACATATTACTACAGCCATAATATTTAACAATTAAGCTTTGAGTTGATTTTGAAACCAACAGCTTTGTTTTTTTTTTCTTCTTTTTTGGTGCTGTAGACACATATATTATCACAGCAAAAAAACAGTGCTTTAGAAATTTATTAATGAACTCGTGAGTTTTATAACAAACAAAATCACGACAAAAATCTTAAAGCTACAGTCAAAAAATATACAGCATTTATTCTACAGCAAAAAACTAAAATCACAGCATCAATCAATCAAACCCTAAAACAAAACTCAATCTGGGTATAATATTTGTCTACCGTGTGATACTACCAAACTTAGATTTATATATTAATTATGAAACATAATATGTCACATAATAACTAAATTATTCAATTATATCAACTAAAAATAAATAAAAAGATATTCGCACATATTTTTATAAGACTGTAATCTAATAAAATCTTATTATATCTTTGAAAATATAAATTTATCTTTGAAAACACTCATCCCGTTGTTGCACTTAATTTCCATACACCACAAGTCGTATAGATATGCATCATACAAAACAATTTTGAGAAAATAAGAAAAAAAACAATGGAGAAATCTAGGTTGGATGAAGAAACCAACCTTTCGTCGATATTTTTTTGGGGTTTTGTGTACAAGATAAATCGTTTCCTCACGTTTAAGGCAACTACAAAGATTACAATTTCTTTTTAGAATATTTTCATAAATAATTTCTAAAAATTTTGAAATTTTTGTTTACCTTATACGTTGAATGTATCTTCTATACAACGTAGAAACCATAACATTTTCCTACTAACAGATTCTACTATAAGTAGACTTCTTACTATGTCTAGATTACTTTTTCAGAAATTTTTAGAATTGGTTCAAAAAGTATATATAATCTGTATTCAGTTATTTTGTAGAACCTATTACATTAAGTAGACATCACATGCTTCATATTTAGACTTCTTTATAAAAGTAAATTGCTGGTGCTAAAAAAAAGTAGAGTTATTTGTTTAACGTGGAATGTGATTTCTACCATTCCATTTTTCGTAGAAGATAAAATCTATTTTTCGTAGAGTAGAATTAAATTTTTTTAACTTAATAAGTTTTCAAATGAAAAAATATTAGTTTGTGTATTTAGGCATTTCATTACTTGTTTGTATTTTTCAATATTTTTTATTCATAAAATTATTTATTTTATTAAATTTTAGAAATTGAAATATTAAAAAGATAAAAAAAAAAATCGGATAAAAATAATTTGATAAGGAGACTAGATTTCTATTATGTTTTAGCATAATTCCAAACATATTATAACCAATTGGAAGAAGAGAAACTAATAAAAAAAAATCTATTTGGGTATAATATTTGTCTACCGTGTGATACTATAAATAAAAAGATATTCACATATATGTTTATAAGACTGTAATCTTATAAAATCTTATAATATCTTTGAAAATATAAATATACAATTTCAAAAATATTAACTTTATAAATATCTAAATTGTTAAATAATTGTGTAATTAAGAAGATACAAATTTAATCCATCCATGTCGGAAGAAGCTGGAGAAACAGAACCCAACTTTTTTAACGTGGAATGTGATTTCTACCATTCCATTTTCCGTAGAAGATAAAATCTACTTTTTTGTAGAATAGAATGAAAAATTTTAATTTAATAATTTTTTAAATGGAAAATATTAATTTACTTATTTAGGCATTTCATTACTTGTTTGTATTTTTTATTGATAAAACTATTTATTTTAATAAATTTTAGAAATTGAAAAGTTAAAAAGAATAAAAAAGTGGATAAAAAAATTTTGATAAGGAGACTGGATTTCTATTCTGCTTTAGCATTATTCCCAACATGTTATAACCAATTGAAAGAAGAGAAACTACTAAAACAAAAATCAATTTGGGTATAATATTCGTCTACCGTGTGATACTATAAATAAAAAGATATTCACATATATTTTTATAAGACTGTAATCTATTAAAATCTTATAATATCTTTGAAAATATAAATATACAATTTCAAAAAATATTAACTTTATAAAACTCTAAATTGTTAAATATTTGTGTAATTAAGAAAACACAAATCTAATACATCCAAGTCATCCTCTCCGGAAAAGAAGAAGAAGAAGCTGGAGCAACAAAACCCAACTTTATCCAATATGACAACTAAAGATATTATAACCAATTGAGAGATGACAGAAATTATTAATATAATATTTGTCTACAGTCTGATATGCTACCAAATTTAGTTTTTTTTAATATTAATTATGCATCATAATATGTCCCATAATGACTAAACTATACCAGTTATATCAACTAAGAAAGAAATAAAAAGATATTCACACATATTTTGATAAGACTGTAATCTAATGAAATCTTATGTTATCTTTGAAAATATAAATATACCATTTCAAAAAAAAAAAAATTAACTTTATAAATATCAAAATTGTTAAATAATTGTGTAACTAAGAAGATACAAACCTAATCCAGTATTGATGTCGTCCTCTTCGGAAGAGAAGAAGCTGAAGCAACAGAACCCAACTCCAACACTTCCCGATGAAATACTCAGAAGTTGCATCGCAAAACTCTCAAAACTATACTACCCGACTCTCTCCCTCGTCTCGAAAAGCTTTCGATCTCTTCTAGCATCACCGGAGCTATACATAGCCCGATCACTCTCTGGACACACCGAGAGCTGTCTCTACGTATGCCTAGAGTCATCTTCCGGCTCACGATGGTTCACCCTCTGCCTAAAACCTGATAAAAACAAAGATGACGTCAGCAAGAACAAGAACAAGAAGAGTTATGTTTTGTCCAAAGTCCCAACTCTCCACTCTCCTCCCGCCGTGTTTTCGGGTCTTGTCTCCGTCGGTTCAGACATCTACAACATCCGATCCTCCTCCAACGTCTCGGTTCTTGACTGTCGGTCTCACACGTGGCGCAAAGCTCCGAGCTTGCCTCTGCAGCTGATGGCGCTCTCCGCTTGCGTCGTCGACGAGAAGATATACGTAGCGGGGATCCACGGCGAGTCGTTGAAGAACTCGTCGAAGGTGCTTGACACGAGAAAGAGCTCGTGGAATCACGTGGTCTCCATCCCTTGCCGCATGACGAGACGAGGGGTCTTGAACATGGTGAGCGTGTGCGTCGACGGGAAGCCGCACGTGGCGACTGATGGAAGAGTGGTTTGTTATGACTCAGAGGGAGGTAAGTGGGATGTGGGGAAAACGAAGATGGGTTCTTTTTGGTTTTCGGATTCTTATTGCGGGGTTGAGAATGTTTTGTACTCTGTTTATAATGGGAAGTTTAGATGGTATGATGGTGAGGTGAATGTTTGGAGAGGTGTGGAGGGTTTAGTCGGAATGCCTAAATTTTTGCCTGGTGTTTCGGTTAGATTGTGTGATTATGGTGGTAAGATGATTGTCGTGTGGGATGAGAACATGCTGTCTAGTGGCGAGAACAAGATTTGGTGTGCTGAGATTGAGCTTGAAAGGCGTGGGGGTTCGGAAATTTGGGGAGAAGTTGAGTGGATTGATCATGTGCTTACAGTTCCTATAGGCTATTATATCGTCAAGGCTCTTTCTGTTACCGTTTGATGAGCATATGTATTTTATCTTTGTGTGTGATCTTTTTGTATTTGCTTACTTGTATTATGAATCTCATTTCGCTTGTTAACATCCACATACTCAGAAGATATCGCTGGATAAAGTGAAAGCATCATGCTTTTAATCATTGCTTTCCTTTCAAACATATATAAATATGTAAATAACTATCTATATATATTAGCAAACTTGTTTTCTGTAACCGCTGATGTCGTCAGTTTTTTTTAATAGGAAAAAAAACAAGTTAACACCAACAATGGAACTTAACCTGAAGATAAAATCTAATGGATACAATTTTGTGTAAGGCCATGTTTATTTGGGGTTCTTAGGATGGCGTTATTAGTGTCATATAAGAACCACTTGTTAACTTTTAACTAAGGAAACTAAGAGAACGATCTCTTAAATAAGAGTTTTAATAGGCGTTCTTAGTTTTTCTTAGTTAATCTATTTAATCGTCATTTTCTATCCACCAAGGTATACCTCTTCAATGCGATGGTTACACAAAATATCTGGATTTTTTTCTGGTAATTATTTTAGTGGACATTGGATTCATTGACGCTTTGAATCGTTCTTGCATAAATCTTCTTTCAGTGTATCTTTCACTCAGAATCTCCAATTCGAAAAGGTTTGTTTTCCATATGAAGTTGGTGTATGTCTGTTGATTTCTGCCACTTCTAATTTTTGTTAATCTTCGTCCTTCGCTTTAAAATTTGTATCTGTAGATGCAAATTTTATTTTTACCGCTTGCTCCAGGAACATAAATCAATCCAGTTACCGCTAATTGAATATCTCTGTAATCCAATCTCTTTTTGAATGGTTATAAATGCGTAGGATGAGATGGAGTTAATTGCATCTTCTTGTTTGGCTGACGAACAATCCACTTGAACACTTACACCAGCGACTATTATCGGTTTTAATGCACAAATGTAACCAAGAGAAGCAAAAAAGCGTAACATACCTTAGCACCTTCATCCAACATGTTCGGACCTTTTCCACCTTCTGCTATCTTTTGCAAAAGTCATGAGTGCAATCTTTCTTTCAGAGCTTCCTCCAAAAGGTTGTTTTCGTACTCTCTTGGGAGCTTTTCATTCAGTAGGTTCTGATCTATTTGTTCGTCATTCTCGAAAAGCAGTAAACTAATCTTCTCGCTCACTTAGGACAAATCACCATCATTCCTGGAAAGAGAAGAACTATGGCAATCAGATCCCGTGCATAACAGTTTAACAAATATTGCTTC